TTGGAAGGAGTTATGGAAACGTCTGCATACCGACATCAAACTCAGCTCGGCGTATCATCCTCAGACGGACGGGCAGACAGAAGTCATCAATCGAACATTGGGTAATATGCTTCGTTGCTTAGTGCAGGAGCATCCAAAGTTATGGGACGATCTGTTGGGGCAGGCAGAATTCGCCTATAATAGCATGACCAACCGGTCCACGGGGAAAAGTTCGTTCAGCATAGTATATACGAAGCTCCCGAACCACACGATGGACCTCGCCGTATTACCCAAATGTTCTAGTAAACTGGCCGCTGACTTCACCGTTCAGTTTTCTAGTATGCTTCAAGAGGTCCGTGAGAAGCTTGCTAAGTCCAATGCTAGATATAAAGAGGATGCCAACAGAAATCGCAGAGAGAGGAATTTTAAACCAGGGGATTTTGTTATGATAAGGATGAGGCGGGAACGGTTTCCACAAGCTTACAAATCCAAGTTGAGCCCGCGGAAGATTGGACCATTTGCAGTACTCAAACAGATCAATCCGAATGCGTATGTGGTGGATCTGCCGAGCCACTACAACACGTCATCCACCTTCAACATCGGAGATCTTACTGTTTATCATCCCCCTGATGCAGCTCCAACCAATATCTCATCAACAGATTCGGATTCTTTAGTCGGAGGGGGAGAATGATGCGGAGCATCCTAGCCGTTGGATGACTTACTATTACTTTTAAATACTTTTATATTATATTTGCTTATTTGCTTTCAGTTAGAGCCGCAGTCTGCTCCACTAGTTAGCTTACTGCATTTAGTATTTAGTACAAACACTCTCTTTTCTTTACCAATGCTATTTTTAGCTAACCGGGCTTGTATTTCTCCTCCTGGAGAAGATGAGTTCCCTAGTTGATGATATACATTTTCAGGCAAAAGCCTTTATAGTTTTTCTGCCTTCCTTGATTGTTCTTGTGAACCTGCTTCTTCCGGTGTGTACCACATCACAAGTGAGCCCTATTAGGGCTTCCTCCCCCCTTGGTTTTGCCCATAGCCTTGGGCCGCCGGCTGTAAACATGAACCAATACCTGTTGGACTGATTCAAGCAGCCCCTCTTGGGCCGGCATCGTAAAACCTTCATATGAGAGGTGCTGTGTTTGCATGGATTTCTAAAATCCATTATGTCAGACAGAGACAAGGTGCTCCTTAGCCATATTTGGAAGGAGTTGTTTTATTTCCATTGGGCAATCCTTAAGAGAAGCACAACATACAATCTCCTGACAGATGGTCAGATAGAGGTGATCAATAGAAGTGTACAAACCTATTTGAGATGTTTCGTATTAGATATGCCGAAGAGTTGGACAAAGTGGATTGCTTAGGCCAAATATTGGTGCAACACCTCATACCATTCAGCAGCACAAAACACATCTTTCAGGATTCTCTATGGGAGAGATCCACCTCATTTGATTAATTATGGACATAGCACCACATCAATATCCATTATAGACCAGTATTTAGAGAAGAGGGATAGAGTATTATCTGAGCTCAAGGGACATCTATTGAGAGCCCAACAAATCATAAAAAGGAAGGCTGATGAGCACAGGGGAGAAGTATACTTTGAGCTAGGAGACATGATTTACTTAAAGCTAAGGCCTTATAGACATAAGACATTAGCTAAGATGAGGAATGAGAATTTATCCCCACAATACTTTGGTCCTTATGAGGTTTTGGAGCGCATTGGAGCAAATGCCCTATCGATTGAGGCTACCACCTCCATCAGCATTGCACCCAGTCTTTTATGTCTCACAGATGAGGAAGGCGATAGGAAATCACACACCATCTTCACTACCCCCGGCCTTGATAGAAGATATGGAGGTCATTTTGGAACCTCTAAGAGTGGAAGGTCTGCGCGAAGACTTGAGTTCGCAAGTAACCCTAAAGGCAATACTTGAGTTCGCAAGCAAACATGTCAAGAATTGGCAAAAACAGCGAGAAATATGGCTGATTTCAAAGAGAAATCATCAAAAATCATGTAGGAAATATAGTAGATTGGAGAAGAAATACAAGAGAAATACTTTGCTTTAATTCACGAACAAGGAAAACAAAGCAAGATACAGATTTCTTTAATTCGAGAGGAAGAAATACTCTCTAAATCTCTAGCAAAGCCTAGAGCCTACACAAAATAAACCCTAGATCTCAAAATTTCAGCAAATCTCAAGATAACCAAACCCTAGCCTCCAAAAGACTAATTAAAGCCCAAAGAAGCTTACAAAATCTCTAAATATCCCCTAATTCAAATTTTTCCTCCCAAATTTTTCCTCCTTGGGCCGCCGACTGGAAACATGAACCAATACCTGTTGGATTGATTCAACCAGCCCCTCTTGGGCCGGCATCGTAAAACCTTCCTAACAATACCGAGCAATACCTAGCAATACCGAGCAATACCGATTTTTTCTAGAAAAACTCAGTATTGCTCGGTATTTCTCGGTATTGCTCGGTATTTGTCTTCACATAATGGTATTTCTCGTTATTGTCGAGCAAAATCGACGAATACCTAGCAATACCGAGCAATACCTAGCAATACTGGGTTGTCATGGATTTAAAATACGCACGAGCGACATACCCACTATTCGCCGGGTTGGGTCCGCGGTTTTGTGCATGCTACGTGGCGCGATCTCAGTGTTGACCGAAATTAGAGCTACGTCCGGTCACCGGACCAAATAAAAGTTCTTGTGGGGGAGAGCCGATCTACCTCTTGAATAATAGATCAATTGTATCTTGTTTATATTTTGAAGTTGAAATTAGAAAAACGGCCATTACCTTTGTATTCCTACACTTTTATTCTCTCTTATTTGCTGTTTTTACTTCCAAGATGCACAACCTACTCACTTTTTTTTTGTGGGAGAAGAGAAACTAATAGGTTGATTGCCCTGCTGACTATATGCCGACAATGAGAAAAATAGTTCACCTCCATGGTTGACCTCATCAAAGTTAACGCTAGCTAGTTATAACTAAATTTTTCGCTGAACTCTATTAAATACTTTCTGAGCTGTTGAATCCACACATTAATATCACTACAAGTGATAACATTGAGAGGAGAATGTTATAATCTTGAAGTTTTTATTTAATGGCTATGGGGGGAATGTTCAAGAAAAAGTGCTCAACTAGAAATTCCAACAAAATTGGTATTTTGAACTTTTTAAGTTGCAGTATAAGTGTTTTTCTCTGAAGAAGATCAAGGTTGAAACCTTCAAATCGATATATCTTTTGATAAAGAAAGATAAACCAAATTGTTTATCTATCACTCTCAGGAAGAATATTATAGTATTTGCTGGGTCAACGGACAAAATCAAGATATAAAATCAAAGTGAAAGAATCTTAAAATCATCCAAGAACCCTAGCCACCAATGTTGTATGTAAGGAATGACATAGATTTCCAATTGCTTATCCAAATATAGAAGAAATTCTAAGTTTAGGGTTATGTTGTGGAAACGTCCAAAACAAAGCTTGAGATAGCTATGGGGTAAGATCCTTCTTATAGCCAATGACCATATTGTGAGAAGGAAACGTTGAGCATACAAATTGATGACTAGGCATTATTTCCAAATGTCAAATGGTGTTTTCATTTTCTATCTATCATAGGAGTAATAATGGAATAATATTGAGTCACTTTTATAATTAGTTGTTTTGGCGAGTGTGGAACTACCTACAACATTTAGTTATACACTTTTTTAACTATACGATGTTGGACTAAACTCAAAGCTTTGCATATCTTAAAAATCTCTTCACATTAGAGCTTGTTATAATGGCCATCACGTTCTCTCAAACTGAAGTATTTATTAAATATTAAATATGACAGTAAGAGTCACTCAACAATGTAGATTCATCATGGGAGTCAAGAATCATTAGGAAGGGCGATCAAGAGTCATTAGGATCATAAATTACATGAATATTTTTATTAATGCTGAACTATTAGCTCCAAGAAAAAGCTGATATGATATTGGCCTTGATAGTAGTTGCTAAGCTGCAGAAAGAAACTTTAGTAAGTTTGTTAGATAAAGCAAAATTTTGAAAGGGCAGTTTGGGATCGCTTTTGCTTTCTGTTTTTATTGTAACATAAAATGAAATATTTTTTATATCCTAAAAATATTTTAGTTTTATACGTGTTTATCTCTAGAAGCATTATATAATATACTAAGTTAAGTGTTGCAGATATGAGGATGCTTAGGTGGATGAGTGACTTTACCCTTAGAGATAGGATATGAAATGAGCATATACGAGATAAGGTTGGAGTAGCTCCAGTGGAAGATAAGATTAGAGAGAGTCTCCTTAGATGGTTTGGTCACATTAAACAGAGGCCTTCCGATGACCCGTTAGGAAAGTTGAGGTATTATATTTGGCTTATGTTAAGAAAGGTTGAGGTAGTCCTAAAAAGACTTGGTTAGAAAATATTAGAGATGATATTTCTTTATTAGATTTAAATGAGAATTTTACTTTTACATGGACAATGGCGAAAAAGGATTCATGTAGCTGTCTCCACGTAGTGGGACAAAGGCTTGATGTTGTTGTTGTTGATGATGGTGATGATTGTTGACGGGATAGCAACAACTAGTCAGGTAAGATAATGATAGTTGGTCGATGGTAGCAACAAGGGTGGTGACGGAGGTATAATATGAAAATAGTTTTTAAAAATACTCAAAATATTTCAAAATTATTTTGAGTGTTTTTAAAAATTATTTGATTTAAAAAAAAAATAATTAAGACACATTAAACAAACATTTTTTTGAAAAGAAAGATAAAACCATAAAAAAATAGTAGTGATCTTAAACAGGTCATAAGAATTTGAGACTAACTAAAAGCTAAACAGACTTTGAATTCTGATTCATGGACATTTGGAATCTCTGCTCATGAAGTGCCTGTAGTCAGAATAGACTCTGTGTCACTTATTTTTGGTACATGATTGTATATACTATATGGAAACCATATTTCTTCGTTTATCATTAATTAATCATCAATTCCTGATATTGCAGAGGATGCGCACTGTTTCAAACAAGGGAAAATCAGAACCATCCATTAAAAATTGTTCAAAGAAGAGGCGTACAGTGGATAACTGAAGAGCTCTCAGGTTTTCTCTTTTGGCTTCCCATATGCACCCCTACCATTTTGATGGCAACAAATGTTCGGTAGATGAAATTATTGTCTTCTTTGATTAGCTTTTCTTCTTCTTCTTTTCTACTTTTAAGCAGAGTAAATGCCTGCTGTTTGGGCAAGAAGGCTAGACAGTTTTTTCACAGAAAAATTGTTTATTCAGCACCAGGAGAAAGATTATAGCTATATATATATATATATATATATATTGAATTTGTTGCTGACTATCAGCAATCAAATGAAGCTTGTAAGACTACAATATTATTTATGTTGGTTTCAAATTTTGTTTACTTGAGAGCAGTTCTATGATTGTCCCCAAAATTTGATGTATTTAAAATTTTTTGGATTTATTGAATTTATTTTATGATGAGGATGATATAAAAGTTAATTAATTATTTATATATTTTGTTAATATCAAAATAGGCATAAGGGGAAAATTTAAAATGGATCATTACCTTAAATTAATCAAATAGAAAGAATTTAATTAAAAAAAATTCAGGAGTTTAAATGTCAGAACATTTGGTGATTTTAGACGGAGTGTGGACAAATTTTGTATTTTTCTTTTTCATTTTCTTATGAAAATACAAAACCCGTTTGGTTTTTTTTTTTTAATTTCATTTTTGTTAAAGAACGTTATCATGACAAAATTAAATAGCTCTTCGTCATGGGTTTACCATGCAATTTTGATGCACTTTTTTTAATTTTTTTTTTATTTTTTTCCTTTTTTGTTATTTTGATGCACTTTATTCTAATTGATAAAACCTATATTTAGAGTTTGTTTGAGACAGTTTTGGCTTCTTTATTTTTAAGGATGTAAAAATCATAATTTGATTTGCTTTTGTTGGATGACTATATGCATTAGGGGCGTAAAAGAGTCGAGTAGAGTATTTGCCTTATCTAGTCTGGCTCGTTTAATCCTTAATGAGCTTGAGCTCGACTCGTTTAGAAAATATCAAGCTTGAGCCCAACTCTAAAGTTCGAGCTCGTTTGAAAAGTTCGGGCTCGAGATCGAGCTCGTTTGAGAAGCACCAATGCCTGTGATGTGTATTATTATATAAAAAATAGTACTATAAATATAATAAATATAATTATATTGAGTAGCTTGATAAGCTTTCGAGTTGAGTCGGGTTGAGCTCGAGCTTGAGCTCGTTTATCATACGAGCTCGATTGTAGGCTCGAGCTCGAGCTCGAGCTTGAAGCTCAATAAGCTCGGCTCGTAAGGTCGTTAACGAGTCGAGTTCGAGCCGGCTCACGAGCCGACTCGGTTCGCTCACACCCCTAATATGCACCTTAACAGGGGAGTGAATTGGGTTTTAAAATTTTTATTAAAAGAAGGTAATTAAAATAATTTTATTGTTATTTAACAAAGAATAAATAATCCCATAATTTTAAATAGCTCTTGGTCATGGGTTCTTGCATTTATTTTTTAATCACCTCATTACTTGTAATTGGAATATAAAATCTGCTCACTTTAAGATAGATTTATATTTTGATAAAATTATGAATAGTATTTTAAATAAAAAATTTTCTTGTTAATTTAAACTATAACTCTTAAAATCATATAATACTTTTAAGAATGGATTAGATTTGAAATGTAATTAATCTATGTCATGTAAAAGAAAATAAAAAATACTTGTTTTGCTATCTTTGTTCACTAAAAAAAATTAATATAGAGAACTTAATAGAGTATTCTCTATTAGTATTTCACTTAATAATAAATATTTTTAAGGAAAATACATTGTGAAAACTAAAAGAACATCAAGTAAATATTTAGAAAAAGAAAGTAAACTCTAGAACTCCAAGAGATGCTACATGATTTCATGTGTTGAATCTTTACAATCAATAAATTTGATCTTGCAAATGAAAAAAGCTCTTAGAATGAATATCAAGGTTTTTCCTCTCAAGATTTTGCATGCAAAGAAGGAAAGAGAAATGAAAAGATTGTTGGAGTTTGTGGGCTCCAAAAATTTCATAATGTGCCCCCGCCCTCTCCACGCCATATCTCTTTTCTTTTATTGCTTATTTATGTGATAACAGAGAGTTTTAATGAGCTTAGGTTTCGGATTAATTTTTAGTAGGCATATTAGGTTTTAGATAAGACACTACATAGAGATTTCACTCTCATTTTGTAAGGAATTTTTTTTATCTCAATTCTGGTTTCCTATAGGTGTAAGCCCCTATAGTTAATTACCCATCCCGATAGCAGGAGAGAACTTTTGATTAAGTCTAGTAGTTAAAGAGGTCGCATGGATCATAAATCCAATGTATAATAGCAATAGTTTTATGGTTTATATTTGGTTTTATTATTTGAAATTTATCACCATGAACTTAAAACTAGTGGTTGGGGGAATTAAGACGAGCCCGATCAAGATCCTATGGTTTTGTTTTCCTAGGTGTCATATTCCATGGTCTACTTAGTCAACGGAGGTAGTAGACCCAACCTGACAAAAGCTACCTTATCGACATCCATGGGTTGCTTCATCCAAGAATATCTTATAGATCTGGGTTTGTGTTTTTCTAAGGGGATATATCTGAATCCACCTTAGCTGATAGAGGGCTTCATGCCTATCGAATATACCCTATGACTCATTACTTAAGGGTTTGAAAACGTTAGGAAACATACGAGCTTTGGCCATGATTATAATATAATGATGCCATTTTGTAGAAAAACCACCCGATTAGAGGGCACGTGCTTCGTCTCTGATGGCAATGGATTGTTTGAGGATGAATCTTAATGATACACATGGAATACATTTGCTCCTTGTGAACTGAGATTAATTTTAATTTTATCCCCCCGACAAACGGTTGCGGGAGGTGGATGGCTTTTAATTTCAAGTTTTTTAGGAGTTAGATTTCATTCAAGAATTTGGGCTTTATTGGATTTGATGTTTGACCCCTTTGATTGAGATTTTCTTTCAACACGGCCTCATCGAGCTAGGTTTGAAGTCACTTGTATTTTCATAGGAATTTGAGAGGTATTTTATACTTAAAGTCATGTCGGCTCAAATCCTTTCATGCAGGAGGAGGAAACTTAAATAGTTGACCCACACAGTATTCTCGAGCAGTTGGATTTAGGAATCATATGTGATGATATGAGCACATGTGGGTTTGTGTTTAATTTGAAAAAAAAAAATGTCATATTATTAAGCATGTGACATGGTGCAACATTTTTGGACATTTGTGTTTGTAACTTTAACATGTTTATTAAAGCACATGCACGATATTCTTTCGTTTGGAAATAGAATGTTACAGTAGTAGGCATTTGACCCTACACAACATTCTCGGAAATTTATATTTTAAACTTTAACATGTTTGTAAGAGCACATATATAGTATGTCATTTTCAAATGTATTTTCATTATCATTGTAAGGATATATCCTTCTATTCACTTGTATAAGTAGGGTTGCAGATCTGGTGGCATAAAAAAAACACATGCTTGCAAATAAATATTTCATAATGCATTTGGATTGTCATGTTCTTAATAGATAGGGAGGTTGTTCTACGTTCATGATTTATAACAAGTGTTGTTTCATAGTTTCTTGTAGATTTCCATAACCATCTCATTTAGAGCACCCCTCCTTTTCACAATCATTTTATAGCACATAGATTTCATCAATACATATATAGTATATTATTGTTTCAATTGAATTCTCGATATAATATACTATAGCTTTAGTTGAATTATCTAAAACACCATAAAATCTTTTGAAGCATCTTTTATTAGAGATCAAATTTCAACATCATCCGGTGTAATTGACTTAATACTCTACTGATGTTTAATTCTTGATATTTTTCTTCTTTCTCTTCTCCTCCTAATGCATCTCCACCATACTCGTCTCCTAAGATGTATTGATGGGTACAAAGAACATTATAATCACCCCAATGCCATTACTAACTTGATGATTGAAATTTCATGTATCTTTTAAGGATTCATAAATGATTTTGGAGGTGTTATCACAACTATCATGAAAATTCTTTGTGGAATCGAGATACTCATTTTGTCTCAAAAAAATTGTTTAAAGAAAGAGAATGATAGTGTGGAGTATCATGTTTATAACACATTGATTTTGTAATCGTAGGAGACTATTGAACATATGTTAGGAGACTATCGAACATATGTTAAGGGTGTCTTGTGGTCCATACGTGATTACTTATGTGATCATGAGTGATATTGCTATCTATCACTAGAGCTATAAAATCATTTTCTTTCTATCATTGCAACATAAGTTGCTTGCATTAGATGGTCATATAATTATAGTTTGACAACTTGATTTAATAGCAATCTTCACATTTCTTTCATCTTGTACATACCTACTTATCAATGTCGAATGCAACTTCTCTTCGACATAAAACTTTCTAAGATAGCATTGGAAAGTTTTAGAGAAGTATGGAATGGAATAAATGTGGTAACACTAGAAATTTTACAATTTAAAATGCTAGATATGTACCCATTAACCTTCAAATCAATATAAGTATCTTTATGTTTATTGACATATACAATTCTTGAAGAAAAATACCCATTATCAAACATCGATACGAAGTTAAATGTTCACAAGATTTCTCAAAATGCTTGTGTAATTAATAACATTTATGATTTAATGTAGGCTCAAATAATTTTGTCATCTCATTGAGTGTAAAACCATGACGAAAAGCTCAAGTTGAATGTATCACATATCAAGTCAATTTTAAATCAAGTTGGATCAATTTTATTTTTTATTTTAAATTGATTAAAATTTATGAATTTTCATTTTTAATTAATTATTAAGGGGAGGGAGTTTGATGATGATGGCAGAAGCAGGAGTCAGATCAGTGAGGTCATCTAGGGAACAAACTTAGTGGCCGAGTTTTGTATAGTAGAAGAGGTTAGACTCGTCGGCTTCGTTCGTCAAAGGTAAGCTTTTCTTTCTTTTGGCTCCAAGAGTGTGTGAGAGAAGTGAACGACAAAGGGGCTTTTTGTGTCGTGAGTGTGTGGTTACATACAATCATGGGTGATCGTGGGTCAAAGGTTGGGTCTGATCTGTGGAATGGGTGACAGTTACACTCAATAAATATCTCCCAACAAATATGATTTATATCTTATAGCAGACCATGTTTGTTTCAAACTGGTTGACCCCGTGGATCTTTAAAATTATATTTTAGATGTTAAGTAGAGGGTATTTTAGATATCCCTAGTTTATCTTCTAGATTTTTCATGTTCAAAATACTCCTTTTGTCTTAGCTTCATGCTTTGGCAGCTTGGCGAAGGAGATATGTTGGTGGCCTAAACCTTATGGGCTTTCATTAGTTAAATGGTGCATAAC